CAATAAGAGGCAATATTAAAGATGCTTAAGTAATTTGCTGAGCAATACTGTGAATGAAATTTGGTCTGTGAAATGAATCAAACCTATCTTAGACCAGCTACTATGCTAAGTTGTCTGGCATAGAAAATAGGAGCTGAATCACTAGAAGAGGAGGAGGTATTGGAGGGGAGGGAAGAGGGAGAGAGGGAGGGAGCATGTGCTCACAGGAGAGACCTAGTTCATGAGGCCCAAATTGGAGGAGAATCAGAAACTTAATAGGCCCCTTTCTCTATGCCTGGTACCAGGCATCCTCCAGAAGCACCTCAGCTCCTCTTCATTCTAGGAGAAACGACAGCAGAGGCCTGGGAATGGGAGGCAGGGTGGAAAGGGACAAGAGGGAAGAGGAGCTATGAAGAGCTGAACCCAGACGGGAAGGGTTTGACAAGAAACAATCAGCGGTCAGTTGGAACAGCTAGGTTCAGCATTCATAGTGTGGACCACATGCTGAGTTTCCAAAGGGCTTCCAGTACAGGCACCGGGAACTTCAGATTCCCACATTTGGGGGACAAGGAGCAGCTGTTGCCTTGTAAGCCCGGAAAGCCTAGAGTCTGGGGGTGCTCACCGCTCCCTTCTACAGTTAGAGTAGAAAGCTGCCTATCCAGCGATGGTCCTTTTCACAAATGCCCCTTGAGTGTGTTGGAAACGCCCCTGGCACTGTAGCCTCGGGACCAGGCTTCGCACTGCGCTAGCCATGAGCACCCAGAGGCCACCCAGCCTAGACAGCGCCCGCCCGCGCCCTCCCGCCGCTGTGCAGACGTCTCCAACTGCAAGAAGAAGTGGATTCGGCACAGGGGCCTGGACTCACTTTATTCTGATAATCTGGAAGGCAGGCGGCTAGCGCGCAGGATGCACCGGATCGTCACGCCGGCCAGGGCACACTCACTCTGCCTGCGAGGTGTTCTGCATCTCCCATCCCTCCGCCCCAACCTTTAGAACCAAATCGGACTAAACCTGGGAATTGCTTAGCCTGTTTTCCTGACCAGATCTCCTTGTTAGTCGTTTCCGCCTGACCAGGCTAGCCCGGGGCGCCCGCTTTCTCTCCCGGTGGCCACTTTGAAACACTGCACTTGGGAGCCCCGGGCCGTGCCCTGCGGAGGCCCGCCGAGACCTTGAAGTTCGGAAAAACAAGAAGCGATTGAACCGGCTCCCTCCCTTCTTTACAGACACACACGCACCGTCAGGCCGCCGCCACTTCCTGCCTTTGTTTTTCTTCCTCCAAACATTTTTGGCCTCTTGCATTAGCCGCCGTGGGGCTCCGGGTGGACGATTAAAGGCAATATACGCTGAGGAGTGTTTTTTGGAGATGGCCCCACGCTGTGGAGCTCTGGAGAAAGAACAGCTTTTGGCAAACCAATCGCCAGGGCCAATGTCACAACTTTGCCCGCCGCGCGGCTTCTTCAAGACATGGAACTCGGACTTGGCCTTCCGGGGTGGCCTTGGCCCCAGTGGAGTCTTTTCTAGAGCCTAGTGGGGCTGAAGGCAGCTTTAGGCCCTCCTGCAAAGTGGAAGAGACAATTAGGTTCAGAGCAAAGTCAAAACCAAGAATCCGCAGCTCTACCACCTTTTCCTCCCCCCCCCCCCGACCCCTGCCCCAAGATTTGGTCCGAACCTAAGAGCGGCGCGTACCCCGGCAACCCTGCCGCTTATCTGGAGGAGCAGTCACGCCACCAGTATACTCTAGGCAAGTGGGTACAGGAGCAGGCAACGCTGGTGAGAATGATAGATAAGGGATCTGAGAACGCGGCCTCCTTGTTCTTGCTGGGGAACTAAAAGTATTCGGCAGCTCTGGGCGTTTTCCCTTCCGCTGGCATCAAAAAACCTTTTTCCTCGCCCATCTTCACAGCAGCGCCCCCCTCATACCCTCTTCCAGGCTGCAAGTCCCTATGGGCACCCGGCTTCGGTCTAGCCTGTGGAACTGCTCTGCCAACCTCTCTCTGGAGTGCCTTCTTCTGCCCCAGCCTTTCCTCGCTGGGGAATTTGCCTATCTCCTGCAGACAGACAGACACCCATGGGATCTAGGCTTGTCGGCTTGGCCTTCGAGGAGAACCTAGGAGGCAATGGTGATGAACACCACCACACAACCTCATACAGACCTTTCTGCAGGAACCCCTTCCTCCCCCACCCCCCACCCCCCGCAACAGAGGAAGCCGATCCAATTAAGAGAAGGGTTGTGTGCAGCTAGGGGAGGTGGTCTGGCATCCCCCCGCCGGCGGGCCACCTCGGGCCCCACTGCTCAGGCACAAGCTGAAGTTGACTGCCAAAACTGCTATAAAACCACAGGTCTGTCTAGAACTGTTTTCGGTTCTCCTAGACGCCCCCGGGTTCAATTATGGTCTTAAAAGCCCTAATACAAGTGCAAGAATTTGTTTGCCTTCACCCAGGGGCGGGGCGAGCCCTGCAATGGTGGCGCCTTTGTTATGGCAAAGTCACTGAAACCCTCCTTGCATTCCTTTTGTTAAAGGATAAGGGGTGGTGAGGACTGGGTGGGCTGCTGAGAGACAATTTGAGATGGTCAAAAACAAGGCTTAAATACTATGGCTTGAAATCTCGCCTCCACTCTTATATTCTGTCTCCAAGAAAGAGATACTGTGGAGAAACAAATATTTTGCCTTGTTAGTCACCGCTGGAAATAGAAGTGTTTCCCTGCAGGACAATCCTGTCATTGTGATTCCCAGCTTTAGGGGTCTTAAAGCTCCTTTTCTTCAACAACCTTTCCACCCACTGGACTTTCAGATGCTGCCCTCTGTGCAAGCCACAGTGGACAAATATGTCAAGCTGAAGATGCACAAATAATTTCTCAAGTTCAGCTCTCAGGGATTCAAGGGGCATGAAAGTTCTTGCAGCAAATCCTGAATAAAGAGTTCATTAAACCAATGTGTCTGAGTAGCTTGATTTGTGATAAGCAACCCTTGTAAAAAAAAAAAAAGGGAGGGACATAAACATAAATGCTAATAAATTAGTTTACTTCCGTATATAATAATTACTCACTATTATTGATATTTACAGTGGGTATTCAAATAGAATGGTGGGTTATTATTTGGAGAAAATACAGAACGAGAATATTTCTTTTTCCAGTGCAATACATGATTAAATTTGTTATTGAGTCAGTTATGGTCAGCTCAGCAATAAATAAATAAATTGATGTTGACACTTAAATACCAAAGATCTTAGAGTTTATACTCTAAATCTCCCCAAGATATGTAAATACTTTTGGCTATTTCCTGGATGGGGGTGGGGAGGGAATGGACTTCTCTCTTTTTTATTTTCCTTCTGTGACACCCTAGCTCCTTCTATGAAGTGAGTCGTGGTGAGGTCTCAGCTCTGGGCCCTTTTCTTGCTTCTGGCCCTGCCTGTCTGCTCTGTGCTCTGTGCCCTCTCCCTTCTTTCATTTCCCCCACATATAGCTCTTCAATCCTGCAGAATGATGAGCTTTATTTTGTCTTCATTTCTCTTATTTTCTCCTTTCACGAAGGATAGGTTCATCCTAGCAGCCATAGCTTCCTACTCCATCTTTAGGGCAAACCCAGGCTTCACAAGGCATCCCTGTCGCCCAAGGTGTGGGGAGTTAAGGAAGCACCCCTTCCCCTACTGCCCCCCCCCCCGGCTCCTTCTGTGGAAACACAGGAGCTCTGTGGATTTCTTCCTTGTTCATCCCTTGCTTTCACTCTCAGGCTTTGCAAGGAAGCCGCTCACCCTCTTTCTTAGCCAGAGCTGCCTGGCCATCACCACTTCCTTATCACCACCCTCCATCTCCCGCCCCCCCCAGTCCTGAAACTCTGCAAGCAGCCTGGCAGGGTCCCCCAAAGGTGCAGCATACCCAGGAACAGGCTCTTCGGATGTTAGCGCCTCTAAAACAGCCCAAGGCTTGCCTCAGTTGCATGGTTTCCCGGTTCTTCAGCTCCTGAAGACCCAGGCAGGCCAGCTGACCGGTGAGCTAGAGGCGCAGCGTGCGTGCCCCTGGCTCTGTGGAGTCCCTCCGAACCCCCTCAGGCAGCGGGAAGAAAGGGGTTCTCCAAGAACAGGGGGTGGGATGAGGAGGCAAGATGGAAGGAGGAAGGGAAAATGGATCCCGGGTGAGACGAAGGCCCTTCCGGACCCCGCGGATTATTGACAAACCGCGGGGGGAAGCCGCCCAGGCTGTTGGCGGTTTAGGGACGGAAGGCACTAAAGCGCTTCGGAAGTGACCATGAATGCGAGCGTGTAATCGAGTCACCGTGCAAATCGGATAAAGCACGGGACCGGCACATCCACGGTGGCGAACCCTGGCCCCAAATGGGGTCCAGTCAGGGTCTGAGGCTGAGGGGCTTCCCAGAGCAAGCTTGTGGGAGAAGGTGGGGGGGTCGGCTGCAGAGAAGGAGGAGGTGCGAACGTTAGCCCTCAGGAGAACAGACTCTCAGACCACGACCACCCCATTCTGGGCTTCCACCTGGTCAATGCTCCCCCTCCCCCAGCCCATAGCATCCCTCACCCCTGGGGAGGGACGGGGTGGGGGGCATCGGAGGTTGATCTCTCTCACCGCCCTGGGCGCACTCGAGGGCCAGGACCGTGCCGGCAAGCCAAAGCGAGCAGCCTGCGGGCGCACCCCGGCCTCACCGCGCCGGGAGGCCCCCCAGCCAACATGAGTTACACCGGCGATTACGTGCTTTCGGTGAGAACACCGAGTGACGATCTGTTGCTTCCCCTGAGGTGGCTACAAAGAAAGGAAGCCGAGGAGGGAGGGGAGGGGGGAAAAAGGGAAGGGGGGGTTGAAGGAGAAGAAAAAAAAAAAAGCCCAGACTAGCTTGCAGCTTGTCAATTTCAACATCGGGTCACATGACCAGCACCTCCCTGCTAAGGATGGGGATAGATTTCCACGTCAGCTTACGTCTCCAAATTTCTACTTCACGGATCCGCTTCAAAGAGGCAGCTGCAGTGGAGAATCATGTTAAGCTCGGCTACTGCGGAGAGCCCAAGGTAGCCCAATGATGGATTTTGATGAGCGTGGTCCCTGCTCCTCTAACATGTATTTGCCAAGTTGTACTTACTACGTCTCGGGTCCAGATTTCTCCAGCCTCCCTTCTTTTTTGCCCCAGACCCCGTCTTCGCGCCCAATGACATACTCCTACTCCTCCAACCTGCCCCAGGTCCAACCCGTGCGCGAAGTGACCTTCAGAGAGTACGCCATTGAGCCCGCCACTAAATGGCACCCCCGCGGCAATCTGGCTCACTGCTACTCTGCGGAGGAGCTCGTGCACAGAGACTGCCTGCAGGCGCCCAGCGCGGCCGGCGTGCCTGGCGACGTGCTGGCCAAGAGCTCGGCCAACGTCTACCACCACCCCACCCCCGCCGTCTCCTCCAATTTCTATAGCACGGTGGGTAGGAACGGCGTCCTGCCGCAGGCTTTCGACCAGTTTTTCGAGACGGCCTACGGCACCCCGGAAAACCTCGCCTCCTCCGACTACCCCGGGGACAAGAGCGCCGAGAAAGGGCCCCCAGCGGCCACGGCGACCTCCGCGGCGGCGGCGGCGGCGGGCGCGCCGGCAACTTC